TGAGACAGGGTCTCCCAGTAGCCCCAGCTGGCCTGACACTATGTAGACCAGGCTGGCCTCGATCTCACAGAGATCTGCCTTTCTCTGCCTCCTGAGTGCTAGGACTAAAGGCATGTGCCACCCGCCCCGAATTCCCCCCCAAGAATGTTTACTACTCTTGCTGAGGACCCCATTTCAGTTCCCAGCACTCAGGTTGGGCAGTTTATAGCTGCCTGTAATTTCAGTTCCAAGGAATCTGAAACCCTGTTCTGTCTTCTTCAGGTACTGCATTCATGTGTACAAACCTACACAAACACACACATACACATATTTAAAAATAAAATCTTAAAAATCATAATTTTGCTTAGCATAGAGGCAGCCAGTATTATTCAAACTACACCGTGTTGCTACCTGCAGGGCCCTAGAGGCAAATCAGAATACAAAAGAGCAGAAAGCCTGGGCTTGACTTCTTCCTAGCTATGGCCCTGAGCAGTCCCATTACCACTGGAACTATTGCATCATTTATAAAGCAGGAGTTATAAAACGGGTGTGGTGGTGCAAGCTTGTAATCCTAGCACTCTGGGGACTAGGGCGGGAGGATGGAAGTTCAAGGCCAGCTTGGACTAGAAAGCAAGATGCTGTCTGAAAAAACAAAACACATACACACACACACACACACACACACACACACACACAATAAAACCCCACAGACACCATGCTAGCCATTTCATAGGGCCATGTTAAGAATAAAATGGGGCTGGAGAGATGGCTTAGCGGTTAAGAGCATTTACTGCTCTTGCAGAGGGACCTGGGTTCAATTCCCAGCACCCACATGGCAGCTAAGAACCGTCCTTAACTCCAGTTCCAGGGGATCTGACAACTTCTCCTGGCCTCCAAAGGTATTACATGACACAGGTATACTTACATACATACAGACAAAACACTCATACACATAAAATAAAAAGTAGAGAAATAGTGATGTAAGCTAGCAAGATGACTCAACAGGTAAAGGTACTTGCTGCCAAGCCAGATGACTTGAGTTCACTCCCCCAGACACACATGTGGAAAGAGAGAATTGATTCCCACAAGTTGTCCTCAGATCTCCACACCCACACCATGGCACTTACACATTCACCTCCCCCAATACACAACATAAATAAATGTAATTCTTTAAAAAATTTATTTTATTATTTTTATTTTATGTGTATGAGCATATTACCTGCATGTATCTAAGTGCATCCATGTCATGCAATGCCTGAGGAGGTCAGAACAGGGTGTCAGATCCCCTGGAACTGGAGTTACAGATGGTTGCTAGCCACCATGTGGGTGCTGGGAATTGAACCTGAGTCCTCTGCAAGAGCAGCCAGTGCTCTTAATTGCTGAGCCATCTCTCTAGCCCCATTCTTAAATTTTTTTAAAGGATACAAGGAGATGACATATGCCAGAATGGTCCTTTTCTGCACAGTGATAATTCTTCCAGGCCAAAATGTACATAGAAAGTGGTCAGAGAACAATGTTAAGACCATGGCTTCATCTTTTCCTAAATCTTGCCAGGCATCTTACACAAATATTGACACATCTGGAGGAGGTCCATCTGGTATACTCATTGGCTTTGATCAGCTGGAGCCTGTCAGAGGCACCTGGGAAAGCTAGAGGAGGGCATAGGATGACTGGTTCAATGCGGGCGGCCTCAGAGTAAATGATGCTGCTGTGCTGGGCCCAAGAAAAGAATACAAAAACATATCTTGCAGTGGTCAGGTCCTGGGTGACACCAGCTCATTTCCTCAACACGGTTACCTGTAAAGTGGCTGTGTCTCCTCTTCCTGAGGTGTGGGAAGATAGATAGGTGGTTAGGAAAGGCCAACTGCAGCCAGTGAGGGAAGCCAGCTATGAACCCAGGTCTGACCTCTCCCACTGCACTCCCCTGGAACCTTCAGATATTGCCACTCCCTGCCAGTCAACTTTCCCTGATCTTAAAGCTCAGTTCTGGCTGAAAAGCAGGACTGCTTTTCACTTTCTGAACAGGTCTCATGGAAGCAACCAATGGAGCACTGTGCCAGGGTGTGGCACAGGGTTACATTCTCTTCCCCTCTAGCCAGAGGTGAAGGATCCAGAATGCCAGCTCCTACTAATGTGCTCATAATCCAAGGGTAATTCTCTAGGAAAGGTATCCAGGTGGGGTGGACAGGGGATGATGGACAAGATTTCTAGTCATCCTTAAGTCACAAGACAGAAGATTCCAAGTTCCACTAACAGATGAAGGCTGACTCATAGGGGACCACCTGCCTTCACTGCCCCAAATGGACAAGGCTGGAGTGGGGAACCAGCACCCAGTGCCAGGGGATAAAGAGCTGGGGAAAGAGCAGAAGCAAGGAGGTGGTCCTGGGAGCCCAGGGTGTGAGGTAATGTGGGAGGCCAGGGGCATGCCACCCTGCCAGCTTCACCCATGGGCTTGAGGAAGAGGACACTGTACTCTCCACAACATAATAATCTATAATATAATCTAGAGAGCTTCACTGTGGCTGTCTTCCCACAATGAGCATATTCAGTCAGTCAGCATGGGCCAAGTACTGGAACATGGATGGATCTGATAATCTTGAAAAGCAAACACTAGAGAGAGAGGGCAGTAAACAGCAGGAAAAAAGGCTAAACAGTATCCCAGGGTTCACAAGATGCTCAGCCCCAGAATCAGATGAGGCACAGACTGAGGGGAGCGGCTGGGCTTCCTAGGAGAGGTAGCAGTGTGGCAGAGAAGCCACAGGGAAACCAGAAGGTAGCTAACCTGCCTTCAGCACCCTATGAGGTAGGAGCTACTGCTGTACCCATTTTAGAGGCCCAGGAAAGACGACTTACCTGAAGTTGCTTAGCTGGTGAGTAGGGCTGGGCTCCTCTTTGGAAGGAACTTTCCATACCAGAACATCTGACTTGTGAGACTCAAGCCCTCGGCTGTAACTTCAACCCTACAGTGACTGCACCCAGAACACTCTTGGGCTGTCGCTCTAGTGCACTGCCTGGAGCCTATCGTGTCTGGAGGCCCTTCGTGTGCAGGGATTTTCTCAGGAATTGCTAGGGTTGGGCAAGGCCCTGTTCCTGTTTACTTAGGATTTGAGGACCCATGGAATCTAAACACCAGAGAATCCCAACAGTCCCCTGCAAGCTGTCTGTCACAGAACCATACCCCAGCCTTACCTGTTTCATTTTTGGGTTTTTTTGGTCTTTTTGAGACAGGGTCTCCCTGCAGCCCCAGCTGGCCTGGAACTCACTTTGTAGACCAGGCTGGCCTTGAACTCATAAAAATCCGCCTGTTTCATTTTCAAAAGTAAGTAGAAATAAGGTAAATCATCTTACACTCCCAAAGATCCCAGTGCAAATGCAGCTGGATGCATGGCTAAGGAACTAAGCAAACATCTGGGGGTGGGGTGGGGGTGGGGCTCTGGAAGCAGCAGAGACCAGGTTTGGACAGAAGTACTGTATCAAGTGATGCCCAGCACCTTTTTCTTTCCTCCCTTCCTGCAGCGTTTCTAAGCCACGTTACAGTTATGCCTGAATAAAGAAATAAGCTGATTCTTAGCATTATTTTAAGGTCAAGAGTGGACCTGGATTGCCGAGCACCTGTTCCTTTGATCTCTTGGAACTGTGCTCCCAAGCCTGGGCCTTGTTCATTCTTCAACTGAAACAGTAAATCCAGCATGAGATGGGGAAGTGGAAATCAGGATCCACCTTTATTTTATCAGAACATCTTGCCTTTGATCCCTAAACCTAGAATATCAAACACATAGTCACAGACTTGTCAATTTTTCTCCTTGTTTCTAATGAGATTTTGTATGGTAACTTGCATACCTATATTCATTCACTATGTTGGGTAGAGGGTAAGGTGGGGTCCTGAAGGATTATGTCCAGGTCCCTAGGTCACAAGAGGAGCACATGGCCCAGTGAGCTTGTTTATATTATAAACAGCAACTTTTTGTAAGTCTTTAGTCCCAGATTATGTCCATATTGTAAGTCATTCATTCCTACACTCTTCCTTCCTTCCTTCCTTCCTTCCTCCCTCCCTCCTTCCTCCTTCCCTCCTTCCTCCTTCCTCCTCCCTCCCTCCCTCCCTTTCCCCCCTTCCCTCCCTCCCTTTCAGAATAGACTCAAGTTAGGAGACCAGGTACACTTCCACAGTATCAGGTTGCACGGGGATGCTGCGTGTCTGCACTGAATACATCGTGGACACACACTCCATGGTTGCACGGGGATGCTGCGTGTCTGCACTGAATACATCATGGATGCACACTCCATGGTTGCACGGGGATGCTGCGTGTCTGCACTGAATACATCATGGATGCACACTCCATGAAGTGCTGGCCACATGTTGTCTGGTGCTTTCTACTCACTGAGCATAACGTGCTGGCAGTTGCATCTGTTCTGCATCTGTTCTTGGGGGCAGGACTCTTTTGGGTAAAAAGTCTGTTTTTCCTGAGTGCTCATGTATGCTAGGCAAGTGCTCTACCAGAGTCACACCCAGCCCCCTCCCTGAACAGGATTCCCTTTTCTTCCCATTTAGTATTTTATTCATTTATTTTTGAGAAAGGATCTGTGTAGCCATGGCTGCTGGAACTATGTACACCAGGCTGGTCTCAAACGTACAGAGATCTGCCTGCCTCTGCCTCCATGTCCTGGGGTTAAAGTATGTGCCACCATGCCCAGTTTTCCTAATTAGTGTGTGTATGCCATGGTGTATGTGTGAAGGTCAAAACTTATAGGAGTTGGTTCTTTATTTCTACATGGGTCCCAAGGATTGAACTCAGGACATCAGGCTTGGTTGCAAGCACCTTTATTTGCTGAGTCTTCTTGCTGCACCTCACTTTTTTTTTCCCCCTATTTTTGAGACAGGGCCATACTATAACCCAGGCTGGTACAACTCTCAGTTCTCCTCTCTCGGCTTCTCAGATGCTGGGATTACAGGCATGCACCACCATGCCTGGCCAAAGTGAGGTTTCATTTGGTGTGGTTCAGAATAACACAGGCATAAAGGCATGATTTCAATAATCCATACTCTTGATGATCTTGGCATTTGGCTGACAGGAGACATCACTCAATTTATAGAATTTCTAGCAATTCATGATGAGTAATGACTAGACGGAGATTGAAGACTGTAGGGACAGGTGGGGTATGAGGAAAACATGAAATGATTCCACTGTATGGTAATTCAGAACACACAGCTCTAGAGACAGACAGAAAGGAGACCTGGGGCTGTGTAGGGCTGAGGAGGTGAGGGGTGATGATTAGGGGAGCCAAGCTTCTTCCTGAAGTAATAAAAGTATTCTAAAACTCATTATACTAATGGTTGTGAGACCTCAGTATATACCAAGTCACTGAATTATACAGGGTCTACTGTAAACTGTATGATGTATGAACTTCTCAAAAAAGACAGCGGGGTGGGGAGGGAGAGAGCCACCCTGGAAAGACGGACATAGAGTCAATGTCTGCTGAGGACATTTATTGGTATGGTCTAAGGGCACCAGTTAGAGGCTGGGACTTTTGAGTACCAGGTCAAGCTGGAAAGGCCACTTTGGGGAACCAGCCCTCACTGGGTGGGACTGTTTCACTGCTGGGATATCTGTTTAGTACAGATAAGTTGGGGGAATGTCACAAGCTTGACTGGTACCCTTCTTTCTGAGAAGAAATGGGTCTAGAAAAGGCTGGTAGGTGGGAGGGCTGGCTTCCTTTCTCCCTCACCTGGTCATTTGCTGCCACAAAGCTTAGTATGTGTCACACACTGGGACTTGGGACCTCTACAGACATGTTAATGCTAGGCAAACTGCTTGCAAGAAAGATCTCTAAAAATAGGAACTTTTTGACCTATGGTAAAATGTGATTCAAATAATGACTAGGAATTCCTACCAGTGCTAACAGCTTTATTAAGTTTTTATTCAGCCTTTCTCACACACAAAGCACACATGCAAGTATTACATTTGTTCCCTGAGCATTTGAGCCCTCTCCTCCCCAAAGCTTGGTTAAGACAGTAGGGAGAATGGGGTCCAGGGGAGAGGGCATGCCTGTGTGTTCTCCAGGACAGGACGCCCCAAGAGGGCACTCCAGGAGCAACTTTAAACACTCTCCACTGCCTCAAACCTTAAGAATACAGTGAGACACTTTCCTGACCCTAGAGGGCCTGACCTGATCTCAGCCACACTCTGCCCAGCCCACAGCCCCCACACCTCATTTTACTCTGTCATGGTACCCCATGGTGGAGCTGAGGTGACAGGTCCCTAAGCTGCAGTCCACAAGGATTTTCATGCCACAGCCCAACTGACTACCAGGGCCTGAGCTCAGGACTTCACACACTTCTTCCTCTTAAGCTTCACAGCATCCATTTCTATCCTCTTAAAAATGATGGTAGATGTCTGGGTGCAGTTGGCATGCAGTTTCCTCCCCCACAGGGCAATAGCTCTACTTACAAAAGCAGTCCCCAGCTGCTCTCAGCCTCAGGCTGAAGTCCCAGCTCCCACTCTAAACCCCAAGCTTTTCCCCACTTGGAGCACCATGGCACCTTCACAGCTCTCCCTCCACAGGCTTTTCCCTTCCCAGGAAACCAGCTTCCCTTCTGCCCAGATCTCACCTACTCTGGAGGCTCTGGGGTGTTTTCGCAGCCCAGCCAGGAGCAGGCCTCTATTCATCATCCTATGCTGTTTCATCCTTGCTGAATGTTAAGCTCCTTAGTGGCCAGGGCTGTGTTTACTTTTTCATCCCACATGTCTGATGTAGAGTAGGTATGGAATAAATGTTGAATGAATGAACCACTTGGCTGTTAGCTCCTGAGAACAGGCAGTGTGGCTTCTTCTGAATTACATGATGAACAGATGCTTGTGTAAAAAGAATGGGGATGTCTAGGGATCAGAATGAAGAAGTCTATGGCTTTTTGTTGTTTGGTTTCTGTTTGAGACAAGGTCTCCTTATAACCACAGCTGGCCTAGAACTATGTAGACCAGGCTGCCCTTGAACTCACAGTGATCCATTTGCCTCTGCTTCCTATGTGCTAGGATTGAAGGTGTGTACCATCAGGCCCAGCCTAAAATATTTATTTTTCTGAGCTCTCGCTATGTTGTCCCAACTGGTTCTGAAATTCTGGGTTTAGAAGATCATCCTGCCTCAGCCCCCACACCCCAACCTGAGTGCCAGGACTATAGGTACACACCACTGTGCCCAGCTTAGATGTCCACATTTTAAAGGCAGCCCTGCCACCCCACCCCCAACGTCCTCTTTCAAGGACCAGGATTAGGAGCCCCTAAGAGGGAGCCTGCTCCTCTGTGGCTGGCCTCCGTGCTCCCAAACTGTCCCAGCCAGGGTTCTTCTGGATCTCCCAGAAGAAAAGCTGCTGCTGGAGGCTCCTCAGGTCCTGTAGGTCCTCAGGAGAGAGAGGCTCCGCAGACTGGCCCAGATCTAGCTCTTCCTCCTCCATGTCTGTGAGCCCGTCAGGGGGCTGGGGTGAGCTCCTGGAGATGTAGCCCTGATCTGACTGTACTGACTGCCGCTGTTCCTCCTCACAGGGTGTGCAGGGGTCTTTGAGGACCACCACGGGCCTCTCCCAGCTCACCTGGGGCTGGCCACTTAGACTCTGCCGCAGCACTGACAGCATCAAGCTTTCCAGCTGCTCCCTTGCATCACCGGGCAGGTGGTCAGGTGACATCACTGGGGTGCTGCAGAGAGGTGAGTCATCTGAGTCTGTGGGGAGGAAAAGGATGCTGTTCCGCTGGGCCCCCAGCAGTGGGCAGGCCTCACTGTCCTCTGCCACAGCCAGCTGGCTGGCAGCTCCACTGCCATCTGCAAGAGGGACAGGTGCTACAATGTGGGCTGCAGGGACCTGCTCTGCTGGGAGCACCATAGTCCGGAGGGTCTGGGTCCCCAGATCCCCCTGGGACTGTAGCTGCGGGTCCAGCTTTGCCATTCCCCTCTCTTCTTCACTGACACAGACATCTACCACCAGGCAGTCCTCTGAGGAGGGCTCCCGCATCATGGGCTGCTGTCTGACGATTCCGCTCCCTGGTGGCAGCAGTGACTCTTCAAACACTTCGTCCAGGGACGGGAGGTCCTGGTCGTCTGCTAAGCAGAGGTTCTCATGCTCAAACCAATCGGGGCACTGGGTCTGCCACTCTCGGAACCTGGCCACAGCCTCCTTCAGTTGCCAGCCGCTAGGGCTCTGCAGATAATTTTCCCCAGTGAGCTCCCTGACATGGTGCATCCGACCAGGCTCAAACATCTCCAAGTCCTGGATCCGGAAGTAAACCTCTTCAAATTTGTCCATGAGTGGGTACCTGGAGGTGATATTGAAGAGGTCAGGGATGTCGCTCTCGCTGCTGATGCCACTGAAGTAGCAGACAATGTAGGTGCCAAAGCAGGCTGGCCTCTTGAAGTCTGGGAGGATCATGTTCATGGCTGCTGTGAACAGGTCCCCAGCAGGCTTCCAGTGGTCACACCGTAGCTGGACGGCAGGCTCGGCCCAACCCAAGATGGCCTTCCACTTGGCTTGGGTACCCCGGGAGCACAGGATGATGATTTTGGAGTTGCTCTCTACCATCTCCTGCTTCTGGCGGCCCACCCAGGTCATAACTCCCACCTCTGAGATGACCTGTTCTTCTAGGAGGTCCAGGGCTACTTCAGTGCCACAGGCAGTGATCAAAAACTGGGCAAACTTTAGGACCACATCCACATAGAGGGGGTGGTCGGCTGAGTAGATGATCCAGACTTTCCTGGGCTTCAGGGGTGGGGGGTTTAGGTTGGCTACAGGCACGATGTCTGTGAGAGACAAGGGAGGTAAGGTCACAAGCTGATCCTTGTACCTGCCACAGCAGCCTCTGCCAGCTAGCCTGTGAGGGGCCTGGACCAAAGGCTGGGCTTGGCTTCCTAGCCCGTGAAAACCATCAGCCTTCTGGGTAAGCCAGATGCTGTGGTAAGCCTCATGTGTCCATTGTGAGAAATTGGTGAAGGGCCTTGTGTGAGACAGAACCAACCTCCTCCCCACTTCCCTCTCACAATCCTATCTGGTCTCTGTTCTACACTTTACATTCACCTTCCCTTGAGCAATTAAAAAAGCTGTTTCAGGGCTTGCTGTTTGGGACACTTTGAAAGCCCTCTGTAGGAGGTGTCGAGATGTGGGTCCTTTTAAAGGTAAGATCTGACTAGGACTCAGGAGTAAGGCCAAAGACACAACCTAGTTATCTATCCCGAGAATCCACCACCAGGCTTGAACCACAAACACAGACCACCTCACAGAGCAAGTGATACTAACCACTGTGCTTGGGGTCATCACTGTATTTCTCATGATGAGATCCTGCAAAGGAAAAGAACTGGTTGGAGAGGCTCTTTTGAAAAAGAAATAGGGTCAGGCTCATAGGTGTCTGATGGAAGTGCTGCTGGGTGACAAAGGTAAACAATGAGGGGGCAGCTCCCAGCTAGTGACCACTAGACATATGTGGGCCTCTGCAGAGGGATACCAGATCATGTACTTGTGTAGGCCTGAGTCCTGCTTTTGCCTCTACAGTAAGCTGTGTGACCAGGGGGTTCCCAATACTTCTGAAACTCGGTTCTTCCCTCTGAGGAATGAGTCTGTGGAGGTGCATTTTAGAGACCATGTGTGAAGGGTTCAGCATTTCCCACATACTCAGTTTTGGTCCTGATGATTATTTTGTGGCACTCACCAAGCTCCCTGGCCCCTCCCTCTCCATGGCTCTGTTTCCCTGGCCTCTGTGAGCAGACTCCACTTGAGGGACATCTTACCACACTGCCTGTCAGAAGCAGCCCCCACACCCCACCCTGGGCCACTTGCAACATTTCCTCCTGGTATTTTTGAGGTGACAAAGGGGAACCACACTCTTAGGTAACTGTTCCCCTTGGACATGTGATGAAAAACTGTGGTAGAGGAGTTAACAGGAGCACTGGTCAGGAGCAGTATCAGCATGTGACCAGGGAAGAGGCTATTCACTTTTGAGGCTGGGGAAGGAACCCAACCTTGTATGCATATTAGGCAAGTGTTCTACCCCAAAGCTAAATAAGAGGCTGAGAATCTGAATTTCAATCCTCACTCTTTGAGCCTTTTCCTAGAACTGTCAAAATAACCAGCACAGGCTCTCCTTTTCTCCCCCTATAATGGAGGGCGCTTTAGGAAACATTCAAAACGTGTGGCTCAGTGTTAGAGTGGGGGCTTATCATGGGTGAGGCCCTGGGTCCTAAACACACACAGGCACAGGCACACACATACAGATATATAGACACACACATACACACACACACACACACACACACAGATACACACAGGCACACTCACAGATACAGAGACAGATACACACAGGCACAGACGCACATGTGCACACCCACACCCACACAGACAGACACAGATAACACACACAGAGACACACAGATACACCACACATATATAAGACACACAGACATACACATAGGTACAGAGACACACACAGAGTGCAATAACAAGCAAAACAAAAAGCTGACAGCAAGCCTTATGATTTATAAAGAACTAGTGAAATGTCATGTGACCTACTCCACAATCCAGCGGATACCACAATTAATGATGAGTCCTAATCCTGATGAGCCCTGGCAAGTGTGTAAACAGCTGCCCAGAGGACTGAAGAAGTAGCCTGTGTCACAGAAGGGCAGGAACAGCTGAATGTCTTAACCTGTCAACCCACATTCTTCCCAACCAAAATTCAGCCAGTAGAGCAATACACAGGGAAGGAACCCACAGTTACTATAGCTCTCGGAGGCATCATCATCCCATTTTACAGAAAAGGAAACGGATTCTGAGGTTGTTAAGTAATTCTCCAGTGAGTGCAAAGCTCATAAGGAAGATTGAGGTCTATCCCTGTGAGTTCAGGGTCCAGAGCCTGTCTTTTCTGTCATATCCTGCTGTCCCTCGGAATTCTCCAAGGCGCAAGTCTGGGGACTTCAGGATGAGGTTGCTCAGGCTGCTCCACCTACCTGATCATGGCTGATAAGAGGAAACTTGATTTTAGTAACACCAGCTTTAGTAACAATAAATACAACTGTGGTGAACAGTTATTGAGCAAATACCATGTGCCAAGTTCTGTGCAAAGAATGTGTGATTTCCCTTCATCCTTACCATAGCCTCATGATACGGGTATTGTCAGAATTGTCATTTTGTCAAAGAGAAGCCTAAGGCAGTCTGAGGTGGAGCTGGTCTTTGAGCCCAGCTCAGCCTGAAGCCTGGTTCTAGGTTCCTGGCAGCTGAACTCATCAGGTGGTGGAAGAAAGGCTATGTCTCTCATTATTTGGCCCTGAAGGGTAGACTGAAGGGTACCCTTTGAGCACAGGCTGACAGAAGTCTAGGTGTGAGACTGAGGCAGGAAGAAGGGAGGACACGGGGGAAGAGTGAAGACCAAGGGAAACCCCAGTCCACCCCTTACCAGAAAGCCTCCAGGCCATGCAGATGACCAGCAGGATGACAGAGCCCACCAGCAGGATGGCAATGACTGTGATGAAGCCATACACCCACAGGGGAATATATTCTGTGGCAAGCAGAAAACTGTGAGTCTGGGCAGGGGTTCCATCCCGACCACCCCATCCCGACCACCCCAGCCCAACCACCCCAACACAGGCTCTGCCCTCTCTGGCCATCACCAGGCCACACTGATGATCTTGTCTCTTGGCTAGCCTTGGGTGTGGCTTATCTGCCTGGCTTGGCTCAAGGCTCAGTCAAGGGACCTCATGTAGCCCCTGGGGAATGTCTCTGACTGCAGGTAGGAAGGACTTACCTGCAAAGGAAACTGTAATAAGAACAAAAGGAAACAGGGTGTTACTCTTAATTAGTAGTCACTAGCCCATCACAGATGCTCACAACTCTGCACTTAGACACAGCTACACTTGGTGGTCCTTCTACACAAAGTCCCTTTTGTCACAGCACTGAGAGATACTGCTCCTTCCATTGGGGGCCAGGGCTCTTTCTACCACAGTACCACTGTGCTGCTGTTTGATCAGGGCCTGGCAGTAGCCTCTGTGAGCCAGGGGTAATATGGCTACCAAGTCCCACAAGCTTAAGTAGGAACCCAGGGTTCTGCTAGGTCTTTTGTGTGTGAACTTGGGCAAATTATTTAATATCTGTACCTCAGTTTCCTCATGTGAACTTGGCATATTAAAGCATCTCCAACAATCCATGGTACACAATTCTAACTCTAGGAGAGTATCTTTTTCCAGCTAAGGAAGATGAGGCTAAGAAAGGTCAAGTCCTCTACAACACGTGCAGATTAGTGAAAGGCAACCCAGGAGAGCGCAACTCTGCCCTCGGCCTCAGGTACCAGCACCCCTAAATCTCCCCCTCCCTCATGGTCAGGACTGAGCTCCAGAGGACACCGTCATCCACCCTGACCCCACATAGACCTAGGACAACTGTTACCCCATACCTGGGGTCTGTGGGATTTCTGGGCAGGGCAGGGTCACAGCGTGTCTCAAGCAGTCATTCAGGCAGCTGCTGAAGAAGGGCTGAATCTGGGAGAGCAAAGGAGTGGAGAAGAGGGATTTCAAGAGGCTGGAAGATGCCCCACTCATGTCTTTGAACCAACAGAGATAATATGTAACAGACCCTGGTTGTCCAGGTCAGCGTCTTCATGTGGCTGAGCAGCATGTGGTGGTATGTACCTATATCCCAACTACTCAGGAAGCTGAGGTGCCTCCTCAAGGCCAGTCTGGGCAATGCAGTCAAGACCTCATCTCAACCTTCCCATTCTCCTAAGTGTGGCTATTAGACCAGGTCTCCCATCCATAAGAAAAGGTCAAAAAGCCTCTATGAGACTGGAAGAGCAGGAGAAAGGCAAAGACGGTATCCTGCCAGCCAGAGTATCCTAGCCAGCACTGGCGTTAGGTGCTCAGAGAAAACATAGGTTCCTGAGCTGTCCTCTTCGCTCACCTCCTCCCTCTGAATGGAAGGAAGGCCCACTTGTGCATGCTCTCACCAGTGTGCAACACTCACCTGCACTTGGTGGTGGCAGCACCAGTTATAGTTGCTGAGATTGAGTGTGATATTGGCTCGCTGGTGGAACTCCTCTTGTCTGGGCTGGAGAGAGAGAGGGGAAAGCTCAGCTGGGTAAGAACTTGCTGTTGTACAGCCACCAGAGAACTGCTGAGGATGTGACCCTTAGTGGACCAGTGTCCACCTTAGGAATGCCAGAGGGAGAAATGCTTTTCTGACATCTGTTCCAGAAAGCCAGGTCTTTCTGTAGGGTGATTGTTTGATGTCAACTCATAAGCGTATTTAGTAAGTGGCATTTCCCACTTGGCTTCAGCCTCAGAGCCTGGGGGACAAATCTACTCATATGCAGCAGGTGTACAGACCTGCATGCTCTGACATGGTCTCATTTATTTCCCCCCCTTTTTTGGGGGGTCTTTTTGAAACAGGGTTTCCATCTATCCCCACCTGGCCTGGAGCTCACTATGTAGACCAGGCTAGCCTTGAACTCACAGAGATCTGCCTACCTCTGCCTCTGAAGTGCTAGAACTACAGGAAGTGCAAGGACTACAGGAACTGCTAGGACTACAGGCGTGCACCACCACGCCCGCTTCCTTTTTGTTTTAATCTCTCTATGTTTCTTTTTTTTTTTTCTTTTTTTTAAATCTTCAAATCATTTTTGGGAGGAAGTGAAATAACCACAGTCAAACAAAAAGAGAACAGGTGCTGGGCATGGTGGTGCATACCTTTAATCCCAGTACTCAGGAGGCAGATAGTCTCTGTGAGTTCAAGGCCAGCCTGGTCTACATAGCAAGTTCCAGGCCAGCCAGAGCTACATAGTGAGATCCTGTCTCATAAACAAACAAAAACAAAAAGAGAACAGGCAGGTGTATGGGGCTGTGAAGAACATGGACAGACTGGGTGGTGGGCTGGGCCAGATCACCCCTGTTCCACTAACTGATGAGTCAGTTATAGAAGAGCAGGATAAAGGGATTTTGGAGCTCACAGGTCTCAGTAGGACAGAAGGGAAGAGCAGCATCCAATTGTTCCTGACTGCAGTGTTGGGCTCTGAGAGCCAGGATTAGCTAGGACCAGTAGGGAGGAAGCTTGAGGCCATATTTTCATCTATGTCTGAGGGGTAAAGAAGTACAGTTACCGCAGGTATTTGCTGTATGGCATCAAAGCAGCTTTGGTTCTTCATGTCTGGAAAACTGTTGAGCAGGATCTGGTAGGGGATGGATTCATTCCACAGGGTGAAGCTCACTTGGAGGTGCTGGCTGTCCAGGGTCTCCACAGTGATGTTGGGATCCCACAGGCTACCTGCCAAGAGCCCAGTGTGGGATGAGAGTGAGGAGAAGCATGTGTGTTCTATGTACAGGCATGCAACTGTGCACACACCCAATTTTACTTTACTATGTGCAGGTTAACATGCCCAAGTACAGCTAGCTCCCCAGGCCAGCCAGTTACCTGAATTCACACATGGTGTGGTCCACTTCATCCTGCTGTTCTCGCAGTCTGCCAGCCCCGATAAAACAGAAATCAGTAAGTCTGTCTTTAGGTTTGTTCTTACAGACATTTGACAACAGGAGTAACACTCTGTGTCTCTGGGGTAGCCTGTTCAAATCACCCCTTCACGGTGCCTCGACTGCTGCCACTGGTCAGAGATGCCAGCAGATCAGAGCAACCCGGTTGGCAGTCATACTCTCCTCTCTTAGGGAACCCTCCAGACTCAAGCATTTGCCTCCTGAGCTCTCTGAGCCCAGCAGTAGTAAGTCCCAGTTTATTCCAGTTCTCTCCCTACCCACAGCATTCAGTGTGGCCTCTGCCTTCTCCACTCTGGGAAGTACTTCTGTCCTCCACAGCAGCTCTCTGACGTCACACATTCTCATCACCTTCACTCTCCACAGTGGCCTCTGTGACTTTGTGGCACACCCTCATGACTAGGTTTGTTCTCAGGAGCTCTTGTGGGGGTCAGAGTCAGCATTTCTTATTTTCTTTTTAATTTTTTCTAGTAGAACTGAGGATCAAACCCAGACAGGCACCCTGCCACTGAGCTAGTAATACACACCCTGTACCCAAGAATCAGTGTTTCTAACAAGTTCTCAGCCACAGGGAACTTGGGTGCTAGATAGCTTTAGTTGTCAACTTAACAAACCTGGAAAGAGGGGGCCCCTCAGTTGGTTAATTGCCTCTATTGGATTGGCCTGTGGGCATGTCTATGAGGCATTTTCTTGATTGTTGAGTGATGTGAGAGGGCCCAGCCCATTGTGGGTGGTACCACCCCTGGGTAGATGGTCCTGGGTTGTATAAGAAAGCAGGCTGAGCACAGACTTAGACAAGAGAACCCGTAAGCAGCCTCCTTTATGGTCTGTGCTTTAGCTCCTACCTCCAGGTTCCTGTCCTGCTTAATTTCCTGCCTAGGCTTCCCTCAGTGATGGACTGTCATTGGAATATAAAGCCCTTTCTTCCTCAATTTGCTTTTGGTCAGTGTTTTATCACAGCAATAGCAACCAAACTGGAACAGGAGGGGAGGGAGATTCAGTCACTCAGCAAATTCTTGCTGAGCCCCAGTATACCTTGTGCTGTCCTGGGCACTGCACATACAATGTAAACTGCTCTCTGCAAATGAATTCCATGGAAGAGACCAATAAAAGCAAACCTACAGCAAGCAGTGTCATGTCAGAGTGATGGGTTACACGCAGAAAGGAAAGCAGTAAGAAGATGTGTGTACTCTTTCAAGCTTGTGTTTCAGGGTGAGGAGGTTCACTGCCATCCTTAACAAGCATTTCCTGGGCTGGGGTGTGGCTAAGTGATATAGTGCTTGCCTAGTGCATGTCACCAACAAACAGAAGCTAACAAGCATTTCCTGACCACCTACTAGAGGCCATGAGAAATGTCAGCCATGGCCAAGGTCCTAGGGAGGGCAAAGATAGAGGCACACAGAGATGCTTCCAACTGAAGATAAGCTGGCAACCATAGGCAGTGTGAATGGTGGGACCAGAGAGTGGGATATGCAAGGTGAGGGCTGGACAAATGCAGGTGAGATGTGGGGGAAGTAAAGACAGGGAGGCAGGGTCTGGACCAAGTGCACCTTCCAGGGGGTGCTTGTCTTCCTGACATTTTCTAGGCTGGAAACTACTCCCCTGGACAGAGGGAGGGGCTCCAGTTCCCATCACAGTCCTAGGATCTCTGGCCATATTTAATGTTGTTTCAAAGAGGGCGACTTTGCCTTCAGGGCACGGAGGCTACAGCCTCAGCTGGGGAGCTCCCAGGCCCTGATATCTGTTCTGTGGGTTCCAAAGCTGGCACTGGTAGCCTCTGTGCAGAGCAGGGAGCTTGCCGTCTGAGCCACTTGCTGTTTTCTTCTCCTAGAGGCAAGTATGGAAGGAAGGCTTGGGAGGGCGCTCTTACCAGGCACAATGAAGTTCTTGGACTGGTGGTTTGGGTCCCCATCAGGGATGGGCTTGGGCAGGTTGTGAACGGTCACCTCATACTCCTGGCCAGGATCTACCACAAAGTGGCTGAAGGAGAACCGCCACTGAAGAGGGGGTAAGAAGGAGACTGGATGAGTTAGTTATACAGTCCTCGTCACACACTTGTATCCAAAGTCTGTGACCCCACCCACTTCCCACTACAAATCAGGAAAAAAAAATGTATAAAACAACCACAGAATCCAAAGTGGTGGGGGGCAGAGTATCTTTGTCCTTTCTTTCCTCTGGTCTTTTCTGCTTATTTAAAAAACCCTCATAAGAGGAGGTGAAAAGATGGTACGAGCCAGAGGTGGTAGATGACCACAAAGACAGTTTTCCAGACATCTGATCAGTTACTCATATAAACTCACAGCAATGGTGACAGCATGCACAAGGCCCAAGCAAGCTCAAACCAGACAAAATCCCAGCATAGACAAGGGGAAGTGGGTAAGAAACCCCAACCCAACTCAAAGGAGCAAGGTGGGGAACAAGAAGCCTGTACTGGTGTCACAGAGGAACAAAACCCACTCAAGCTGCCTTCTTACCCGCTTATGGTGGTGTGTCAGTTTGGACAGAAACTCAAACTCCACACACAAACGCTCATTGGTGTTCAGCTGCAGGATAGACAGCTCCACGCCCTCGAGGTACAGGATGCTGGCTGCAGGTCAGAGAGGAGAGGGGCACACAGATACAGACCAACTACACAAACCCCTGGGTGTGGCACTTCCCCATAAGCTGCCAGTTCACCCCTAAAGAAAATGTGCCTTTACCTAACTCCCCACTTCCTGTTCTTTACAGCTAACTCTTGGGCCTTAGCTGACTTACTGCCTTTTAGACAGTTGCCTCCCAGCTGGACAAGGACAAGTGACATTCTTTACTAGGAAGCAGCAATGACCTTGCAACGATGTGGCTGGGGACCTGGCCACAGGACACAGTGTCCAACCTCCTCATTCTCCCTGGGGCTGCTGCAGCCAGCATCCAGCATCCAGCATGCAGCCTAGGGACCTGCAGAAACACCTGCCCCTCCCCTTTCACAGACCTGGGGCTGGCTCTGCTTAAGCAATTCTGTAATCAAACTCGTAAAGAGGTCTGGGATGTGTTTTAAAAAGTGTTGGCCCCTAAGTTAAGAGAAAAAGCAGCTGGCAAATTGCTACATTTTTTTTCTAGTAAATATTTGGACTCATTTAACATCCTGTAGTTTTCACTGCATAGAATGATGGATCTTTTCAGCACCAAATGGAGTCAGCAGTCGGTGGTCTCCTCAGCCCCCAGGTCCTGGCTATATGCCCACTCACCATCAGTCTGCAGTGTCCACTCGATGTGCACCACAGGGACAAGGTCTCCATGCTGGGTAAAGGCAAAGTCCAGCTGGGTCTGGATGTATTTAGGGGAAGAAGGGGTCAGGTTTCGAGGGTGGATCCAGCTGTCATCCAGGCAGGTACCTGGCAGGGAAAGCAGTCATCAAGGACTTGAAGCCATGCCCCCAGGTCCCCTAAGAGGGTTCTGAGCACTGCTGCTAATTTCAGCATAGTTCAAGGTCTACGTCCTTGTCAGGAAGAACAGGTTATCGTTCCAGCTATGACCTTAGCACATTCTCCGCCCAGCCCATTCTTTTCTAATGCTGGTCTTGAGATGCCCCCAAAACTCAGGGTCTAAAGAATATTTTGGGAAAAAGTGTTTTGTTTTGTTTTGAGACAAGGCCGCCCTATAGCCCAGCTGGCCTGGAACTCACTATATAGACCAGGCTGGCCTTGATCACACAGAGATCTACCTGCCTCTGCCTCCCAAGTACTAGGATTAAAAGCGTGTACCACCACAACCCCCCCTACACACACACTTAGGGAGACAGAGAGGTTTTGAAGTAAGCATTTGCACAGGAGGGTGGGGCAGTAGTTAAGAGCTGCTTTACTTTTATTTTCCATGGCTCCTAATTAGCACAGACACTTGAAGTATATATGCCTCTTCCTTAAAACCAATCAGGGTTTTACTGGGGATTGTAGCTTGGTGGCAAAGTGTTTGTCTACTGTGTTTGAGGTCCTGGGTTCTATACCCAGCACAGGAAAACACTTCTCACAGTAAAAAAAAAAAAGCCCAAAGCCAATCCAACACCATGGATGATTCTCAGTGCAGTGAATGGGTCAGGTGTAGTCAGGTACATTAAGTGCCACCCCAGACCATATTCAAAATCCAGACCAGCAGCTGGGTATTGCCCAACTGGCATTAACGAAAGGAGGTTTTCCAATAAGAAACACTAGGCCTATATCCAAGATGGCGCCGCTGATGGTGACAACCCCCGAGCCTGAGCAGAAAGGGGTGGTGCTCCTACGGAATTCAGTGAGAGGCTATCACTTCATTCACAGAGCAACAAGAGAACAAAAGAAGGGGACTTACTGTAGTTGACTCTGCACCTCAGGCCCTGTAGGAAGAAAGAAGATGGTAATTAAAGCTGAGAAAGAAGCTCAGTTTACAGCAGCCCCGTTTGCCTTGAGAAGCCCTGCCCACCTGGAGAAGGGCTTCTGTGAGGACAGTTATACAACCCTCGGGTTCACTTTGGGAGCTGCTCTCTCTGTTCTTGGTGGGGGGCATCTTCTCCAATTCTCCACTCTGCTCCATCAAGGAGAAGGGGTGTATTGGACAGACAGTACACAGAACCTGAGGTTTCTTGAGTAACTGTTATGAGCTGGGATGTTTACAATTTGAACAAACGGAACAAACACTGAGAGGGTTGTTGGTAAAAAGGCCCTTAAATTCTTCAATTCTACAGCTTCCAATTTTCACAAGAGGTAGGGAAGAGGTGAGGGGCAAAATTACAATTCCTGTTGCAGATCTGTCATGAAAATTTACTAAGTTCCAACCTTCTTTGTTTTTTGGTCATTTTGTGACAGGGTCTCCCTGTAGCCCCAACTAGCCTGGAATTTACTATGTAGACCAGGTTGGCCTTGAACTCACAGAGCTCCACCTGCCTCTGCCTCCTGAGTGTGGGAATTAAAGGCATGTGCCACCACACCTGGTTCCTACAAACTCTTCAGAAAAAAAATATGCCTAACTGTTCTGGGTGACTCACACATACAGCACCCTCACATCCCCAGGGTTGAGCCACCTTCCCCAAAGCCTTTATTTCCTCAGTATAAAAATCAGAATACTCCTAACACCAACTTCACAGTGTTGTTGAGAATTAAACTCTACTCATAGGAATGAAGACCTGGGGCAGGGTGTGGATGTGGCAGGTGCTGAAGGTGCTGTGTGTGTGCAGAGAACCCTTCGATTCCCATTTCTGCATCACAAACATTTCCAATCAGGCGTCTCACACTCAACATCAATTTAGTAAAATACCACAGTGGTGTGGCCTACTCAACAGGCAGCTCGTGGAACCCTGAGAGAATCACTGTGTGGAACCCAGCTGGCTGCAGTGCTCAGTGAGCCACCTCCCTGCAGTTGTCCAGTGCCTGGCACAGGTGATGGCTGTCCTCTAAAGCTGGGATGTGGTTAAGTGTGTCCTGGTGCTCTAGGGGTGACTTCTACAGTGAGCATTGGCAGGGCAGCTAGGGGAAGCTCTGGAACTCAGGCTCTGCCACTCCTAGGTCTTTGAACTACCCAGACAGGCCCAACCCATCCTGTGGGCCAGAGTCAGATTTGAAGCAGACAGGAAGCCCGAGGTAAAGGGCACAGTGATGCACTGTATGTGTAGGAAGGGTAATGGTTGGCACCTGCCTCTCCAGAGGGAGCAGAGTGCAGGACGGAGGGTACATGATGCCCCAGGGTTCATTTACAAAGCGGGCCAAGGGCCACTCCTGCTGACATGCCAGGATCCTGCCATTTCATCTGTGTCCCACCCGTTTGGGACACAGGATAAGCTCTTGGGGTTCAGATTTCCTGTACCCTGCCCAGTTCTTTGTGATCAATTCTCTGTCCCAGGGCTCACACCACTGTCTGCCAAATGTTCCTTGCAGGTTTGTAACAAGTCCCATCTAGCTGCCCCTGCTCACTCTGTGACAAATATCATCTCCTGAATGGTGAGATCAACTCTGACAACCCCTCTCCTCTCTTCTGTCTGGAACTCCCTCCTGAATGGTGAGATCAACTCTGACAACCCCTCTCCTCTCTTCTGTCTGGAACTCCCATGAACTGGGATATGGAGGACCAGAATGGGCTCTCTTACCATGAGATGGGGAGCTCTTGTAACATCCTCAAGCTGATTTAGGGTAACTTCCTATTACCCACCAGCAGTGACTCAAAAACCAAATCAAGGTGATGTCTATCATGACAAGGAGAGGAAGTAGGAGGGGTTTGAAAACAGCTGGCTGCCTGGAGCACAGGTGAAGACCCTCCTTTCACACTACAATTGAAGGATATAGCCTGATCATCACGTACTACTGTTAATAGTTGGATTATTTTTCCTTCTATTACTGTTATGCCTTTAACTTTTATTAACAACAGCCCTGAACTTTATTGAATATATAGCCAGCATTTATTAACATTTGTAGGATTTTTTTTTGTCTTTTTGAGACAGGGTCTCCCTGTAGCCCCAGCTTTTCCTGGCCTTGAACTCACAGAGATCCACCTGCCTCTGCCTCCCGAGTGCTGGGATTAAAGGCGTGTGCTACCACGTCTGGGCAGGATTTATTTTTTAAAATATTTTATTTATTATTTCTATGTGTAGGAGTGTATTGCCTGCATGTGTGTAAGTGCGCCTGTGTCGTGCAATGCCTGAGGAGGTCAGAAGAAGGCACTGGATTCCCTATAAATGGAGTTATGGATGGCTGTTAGCTGCCATATGGGTGCTGGAATCAAACCCGAGTCTTCTGCAAGAGCAGTCAGTGCTCTTAACCACTGAGCCATCTCTCCAGGCCTGGTTTCTTTTATTTTTGATGTAATGAATTATGTTACTGATTTGCTGATAATGGATCAACTTTGTATTCTTTAGAATAAATCTACCAGGAATGCTAGTTACTCTTTTGGCAATCTGCTATTAGACTAAAATTGCTAACATGCTATTCAGAATTGCTTCTATCTCTATTTGTGAGACTGGACTAAGCTTTCTCTTTTTGTAGATTTATCAAATTTTAAAATTAAACTTATGTTAGCTTAAAAAAAAGAGAAGCTTCCATTTCTTCTCTGTGTTACTGAATGCTCACCAACAGGGTATGGCTGAACAAAGTGAGATCTGGTTTAGGTCTAAGTATCCACCAAGATGGAAATGGAGGAACAGACTGCTCCTTAAATTTAATCTATTATTTTTTATTTTATGTGTATGAGTGTTTTGCCTGCATGTATGTAAAGCCCACAGAGGACAGAAGAGGGTGTCAGATCCCCTGGCACTGGAGTTATGAATGGTTGTTAGCAGCCATGTAGGTGCTGGGAATTAAATCTGGGTCCTCTGGAAGAACAGCCAGTGCTCTTAACCACTGAGCCTTCGCTCCAGCTCTATCTTCCATTTTATTTTATTAATGTGTGTGTTTTGTCTGCATGTATGTAAGGGCAGTGCCCAAGGAGGTCACAAGAGGGCATCAGATCTCCTGGAACTGGAGTTACAGACAGTCGTTAGTTGCCACGTGGGTTCTGGGAACCGAATTCAGGTCCTCTGCAAGAGCAGCGGGTACTCTTAACTGCTGAGCCATTTCTTCAGCCCTGACAAAGGTGTATGACAGAGTTGTATTCATTTGATATGAAACTGAGTGATGAGAAGGGCCTTTAAAACACTTCTACATGTTTGAGTATGATTACATGAAAATGGAAAGGCATGCCAACAGATCTGGATCAGACGCTAACAAGCTGATTCTTGGGGGATGGGAATGAAGCAGGGGAGATGGTGAGATGGGACATAAGAGGAAGATTTCTGTGTGTGTGTACCATAGTGTGTGTGTGCTCTCAGGTACACACACACACACACACACACACACACACACACACAAATAAATAAATGTAATTTAAAAAAATCTTAGAAAAGATGAGGGGCTAAAAGGATGACTCAGTGATTAAGAGCACTGGCTGCTCTTATAGAGGACCTGGATTTGGTTTTCAGCACCCATATGGTGGCTAACAATTGACTCTAACTCCATTTCCAGGGGATCCAACATCCTCTTTTGGTCTCTGTGGGTATTACTCTGTGGGTATTGTGGGTGTACTTATGTAAAACAGTCATACACATAAAATTAGTTAATTAAAAGTTAAAAAATAGGGGCTGGAGAGTTGGCTCAGTGGTTAAGAAGAGCCATGTGGCTTTCTTGCAGAAGACCCAGGATCGAATCCCAGCACCCATATGGCAGCTAACAACTGTCCATAACTCCAGTTCCAGGGGATCTGACAGCCTCTTCTGTCCTCTGGGGGCACTGCACGACACAGGTGCACTTACCTACATGCAGGCAATACATGCATACACATAAAATAAAATGAAAAATAATAAAATAACATTTTTTTTAAAAAAGGAAAAATTAAAAGCCAGATGTGGTGGCACACGCCTTTAATCCCAGCACTTGGGAGGCAGAGATTAGTTGGATCCCTGTGATATCGAGGCCAGCCTCATCAACACAGGGAGTTAGGGAGTCCCAGGCTGGCTGGGGCTATAGGGAGACCCTATCTCAAAAAGGGAAGGGGGGAAGAAGGGGAAGAAAGGAAAGAAAGAAGAAAGATATAAAGAATGCTCCCGAAGGAAATAAGACACAGAAATTTTATTCTGGAAACAGAATAAAATTAAAACAAGCAAAAAATGTTAATAGCGCCACACCAAACCAACCAACCAACCAAACTAGAGAGGACATTCTATCTATAAGATAAGGACAGTTTATTGGGAAAACTGAGCAGAGAATGAAAATGAACCTGAAAAAAAAAATTTAGGGGCTGGAGTGCAGTTCAGTGACCGTTTACATGAGGTTCTATTACATCATTGCCAAAAAGAAGAGAAAAATCACTAAAAGTGTTGGGCTATAAAATCAAAAATATTTCTCTAACAGTAGAACAAACAAAAATAGAAAAGAATATGAGTATTAGAGAACTGATTCAGGAAATACAAGATATTATTAACTAGATTGCAGAGGAAATAAAAAGGAAGAAATTGGATGAAAAAGAAAAGATATTCTGGAATTGAAGGACACATAGCGTCAGATAAAAAAGCTCCACTGGAGGGGCTGGAGATGCTCAGGGGTTAACAGCACTGGCTGCTCTTACAGAGGACCTAGGTTTGGTTCCCAGCACCCACATGGTAGCTAACAACTGTCTGCGTCTCTAGTTTCAGAGGATCCTACACCTTCTTCTGGTCTCCATGGGCGTTGCATGCATGTGGTGCCATGTATATACATGCAGGGAAAACACTCACACATAAAATAAAAATAAAATTTTAAAACTCCATCGAAGCTGGGTATGGTGGCACATGTCGGAAATCCCAGCTCTCTGGAGGCAGAGGCAGAGGCAGAGGCAGAG